GCTTGAATATATAAAACTAGAGTTATAATCCACAAACAATCATCAATACACCAAATCCATCAAACCCTAAAAGGAACTACTCCATAGACATGGAAATATTCGCACAAATACAATTAAAGTATAGGAAAACATAGATTGATCCAAACTCGTGTAATGACCCGGCTGGTCGTTTTGAGAATTAATGCCCCGATCCCTTATTAAGTGCTTTTCCTGTGTCTTTTTCTGCTATTGTGATTTGCCGAGATGGTTCATTTTGAGTTCTAAAGTGTTTTGGGACACTTAGTCCCTAAATGTGAGCTTAAGACTTAGAATATGGATCGTAGTCGGAACAGTTTGAAGATGGCTCCAGAATTGAATTCCATCGATGTTGTTAGCTCTGTTGGTTGATTTCCGGCTTAAAGGGCGTGTCGAGATCATATTTTGGAGGTCCGTAGCTTATTGAGGCTTGAAATGGCGAAAGTTGAATTTTTGGAGTTTCGGGCCGATAGAGGAATTTTGGATATCGGGGTTGGAATCCAATTTCGGAATTTGGAGTAGGTCCATAGTGTTGAATATGACTTGTGTGCAAAATTTAAGGTCAATTGGACGTGATTTGGTTGGTTTCGGCATCAGTTGTAGAATCTTGGAATTTCAAGTTCTTTAAGTTTGGATTGGAGGGTGATTCGTGGTTTTAGCATTGTTTGATGTGGTTTGAGGGCTTTACTAAGTTCGCATGATGTTTTAGGATTGGTTGGTATATTTGGTTGAGGTCTCGGGGCCTCGGGTGAGTTTCAGATGCTTAACGGATGAGAACTTGGACTTAGGCAATTTCTGAAGTGCTGAACTTATTGTTTTCGCACCTGCGGATTTTGGACCGCAGGTGCGATGCCGCAGAAGCGGCTGAGTGAACCGCAGAAGCGGATTTGGACTTGTGCATTAGGGACCGCAGATGTGGCTGGGGAACCGCAGATGTGGCCCCAGCGTGATAAGTGGCTTTCGCACTTGAGATGCTTTTTCCGTAGGTGCGGGACTGCAGATGCCGCCCCGTGACTGCATATGTGGTAGTCGCTGGGCAGAAATAGGAAATTTCGAGGGTTTGAAGTTCATAACATCAATTTTGATTTTTAGCTCGGGAGAAGGTGATTTTGTGAGGATTTTGAAGAGGAAATCAGTGGGTAACGAATCCTAACCCTATTTCGTTTATATTTCATCAATCTATTGCTGTTTTACTCATCTAATCAAGGAATTTAAGTGGAAAAAAATGGGAATTTTGTGGAAAAGTTCCGCAATCGAGTTTTTGGGTTTTGATCGGGTTTTAGGTGTCTGAATTGAGTAATTTTTGGATGAGTGATCTCGTGAGTGAATGGGTGTTCTTAATTGGTAACTTTTACCCGATTCTGAGACGTGGGCCCGAGGAGGATTTTTGGGCATTTTTCTATTTTCTTCGCCTTAGCTTTGAATTCATTAGTTAAATGGGTCGCTTGTAACTATATTTACATTATGTAATTGATTTGATTAGGTTTGGGCCACTCGGAGTTGGATACTTGTGGCAAGAGCGTGATATCGGATTGATCTTGAGCTTGGTTTGAGGTAAGTGGCTTGCCTAACCCTGTGTGGGGAAACTCCCCTTAAGATTTTGGTACTGTTGTTATATGAATGCCTTGTACATGAGGTGACGAGTGCGTACACGTGCTAATTGTTAAAAAACCCCATTTTCATTAAGTAAATATCTGTCTTTTACCTTAAATTGAGAATTACTAGTTCATGTATCCTCCTGCTTAGCTTAGGAAAGTATGCTTATGTGCCTTAACTGTCTTATCTGTTTTAGCTGCTTACTTGGATTATGTGTAGCATGTTTAGGGTAGGAATTACCTGTTTTCTTGATACGAACTTGAATAGAAGTGTAGACTTTCTGGCTGAGACTGTTGTGTATATTGATTTGGTTGTGTATTTACTTTAGGACTACGGAACGGTATTCCGGGAGATCCCCCTGCATGTTTACTTTGGGACTACGGAACGGTATTCCGAGAAATCCCCCTGCACATCTATGTTTGGGACTACGGGATGGTATCCCGAGAGATACCCCTGCACATTTATGATTTGGACTATGGGACGGTATCCCGGGATATCCTCTGTACATTTACTTTTGGAAAACGGGACGTTATCCTGGGAGATCCCCCGTTGCTATCTCCGTGTACTGAGTTATTTCTTTCTGTGATTTCATTTTTCATTTACTGATAGTATTTTAGCTATACTGCCATATTCCATACTGTTTTACCTTGTTATATATGTATAACCGGTAGGGCCCTGTCCTGATCTCGTCACTACTCGACCGAGATTAGGTTCGACACTTACTGGGTACCGCTATGGTGTACTCATGCCCTTTCCTGCACATGTTTTTGGTGTGCAGATCCAGGTTCTTTTGCTCAGCCATACTATCCGTGAGGCGAGGCGATCCAGAGACTTCAAGGTATATCTTCCGCATCCGCAGACCTAGAAGTCCATCTCTATTCTCCCTGCAGTTATAGTTTTCTTGTATTTTTCTTCGTTTAGACTTCTGGAGTTAGAACACTATGTACTTCTTTAGCTTGTGATTAATGAGATTCCGGGTTTGGGGAGTGCTATGTTCCGTTTGAGAGTGTTATTATTGTATATGCCAAGCGGCATTTTAAACTCCTTTATTATATTACCTGTAAATTATTAGTTTCGTATCTTTATTTCATTTTTCGCAAATTGTTAGTCTTACCTAGTTGTAGAGACTAGGTGGTGTCACGACAATTCATGGAGGGGGAACTTGGGTCGTGACAACTCGGGTCTTGAGTGAGGAAAGAATGATGAAAACTTTGTGATTGTGCTCTTCCATCTCCTCCTTAGCTTCCTTAGGTCGAAAGTATGTCAAAAGTCCTGAAAATAACATTTTCCCATGTATTTATACCAAGTAGGGTTGGGCCAGGACAAAAATACCCTTTCCTTGCCGAAATAGGAAAATAGCTTTGGGAAAAATGCACAGGCGCGCCGCATGGAGCGACGCGCCACACAGTGTGCTTGAGGAACTTATCTGAGAGCATGCTAATTGTTCAAGCAACAGGAATTACATTGGTGCGCCGCCCTACGCGCCGTGGCAGTGTATTTTCTTTAGAGTACGACGTCAACCTTGATTTTTAATAACCAGACTTAGTCCTCGACCCCCAAACACGATCCTGGCTTAATCCATAGGGCTTTTACTCAGACTCCAAAGCTTCAAATAGCTCAAATTAGCTCCGCAACATCTACATAACTCGAAATCACTCCTACAAGGCTTAAAACACACAATAAGTGCAAAACACTACCAATTAAAGCTCAACACAAGTAAAGTGCAGTGAATTAGAGTGCAATAAGTGACTAAAATATGGGATTATAGCCTACCATCAACACCCCACACTTAAACCATTGCTCGTCCTCGAGCAATCAGACTACACTACATATAGACACGGCCTTTTTAAACAACTCTACTAACTCATCACACCAAGAATAAATAGAATAGATTAAGAACTCTAAAGTAACATCCTTGCCTCAAGATTTAACTTAGAAGCACCACACATTTTTCACAGCCCTCGCACTTCTCTAACACAGAGGTCAACGATATTACCTTTCCTTCGTGAATCAAGTACCCTTACACAACAATAAAGAGTAGTTCCACACAAAATAAAATTTAAGAACAATTAGGAACCCAAGATAGAAATAATTCACTCACTCTCAGAAGTTACATTCATATGCCACAAAAGACGTACCATAGGCTTGCCCGTAGTGTACTCTCTGCTAATTGAGCTCATTCAGTCAAGGATCAAGTAGGACTTTATTTGGTTGTAATGTAGGCTGCAGGATGGGTAGGATACATTTCGATATAAGAGTAACTATACCTTTCTAAGCACTTTAATACATACAATTAACCATTCAAAACCCTTACTTATGTCAAACCCTAAATCCACCTTCACATCAATATACATCAACTCCCTATTTCTTTAAGCACAAATACATCAAAAGTTACCACTAACAAGGAATATTTTTCACAACCATACATTATTTCTTTTATATTTTTTTTCAATTCAAGCGGCTCTTACTTTTTAAAAACAATGCACCTTTCTCCTTATTTCAATAGTTCCACTCAAAAGCCAAACTAACACCCCACACTTTGAATTATTCAATGTTCATAACAAATTCAAGTGCGCACGAGAGGTAAAAGGCTCAAATAGATGGTAAAGTCAAACAAATGGGCAAGACTTGTAATGTGGTTTCCAAAGAAATAGGATTACAGGCTCAAATGGGTTAACTAAGATACATAACAATTAGGTGGGTAAAAACATATAACTAGATCAACAAAGGAATGCCTATTTCAATTCCAAGACAATACAAAACTACTATTTCACTTTGCAAGCACATGGGGCAAGTTCTAGACATCAAATGCAATGCACAGAATACACAAGACCTCACACACACTTGACACATAACTCCCTCAGGATCGGACACATCAAGACACTCTAGTCAAAGCAATTAAGCAAAGTTAAGATCATGCAATTTAAGGTACTTATACAAGAGTAAAAAACTGAGCCTAAGCGTCTGCACTTAGTATTCTCAAGGTATATAAAGTCAAGAGACATTGCCTTCATTTCAAATCAAAGCAAGAGGTTCCTACTCCTAAAAAATAAAAACTAACTACACTTGGTTCAAACAAAACCCTTGGAAAAGAACCGCGGCACAAAGAAAAACTAAGAGGGAATTATTACACTACCTAACAAAATAAAATCTTTTTTCTTTCTCCTTCGACTTTAATCCCTCAAGAAAGCTGTCGATAATATCCATCATAGGGAAAAATCGAAAACTTAAAAAAAAATTCAGATTTTTCTATCTCTAACAACTAAAAGTAAGAAAAAGAAAACTAATATACACACATACAAATATCCCCCACCCTACACTTTAAGTTGTGACATGTCCCCATGGCACACAAGTAAAAAGCATAGGGTTAAGGAAACTTCCCTGAATATCTAGTCGGGGTCTGAGTCGAAGTCGGGCTCCATTCCTCGCGCCTGAACTAATGTACACATCAATGCGGACAACTTTTTCTCGTCCTTCTTTGGGTACACACCACACTTATCTTTCTCGCTCACCGCAACCTTCTTTTTCGAGTCCTTTACTTTCCATTCAACAATTGCACCTAGTTTGTCCTTTTGCGCGCCCTTTGCTCCATCCATCTTAATAGTCACAATCTCCTCACCCACTCTAAGCATGAGCTTTCTCTCTTGTATATCTAATATAGCTCTTCCCGTCGCTAAGAATGGTCTTCCTAAGATGAGGGGGACCTCCTTGTTTTCCTCCATATTTACCACTATAAAATCCACAAGAAATACAAACTTATCCACCCAGACTAACACATCTTCTATTATCCCCTCGGGCGTTATAGTCGTTAGGTCTGCCAGCTGCAACGGTATGGGTGCTGACCTTATCTCTCCAATCTCCTTCTCCAATTTCTTGTAGATAGATAGAGGCATTAAATTAATTGAGGCACTAGAATCACGTAAGGATTTATCAAAATTAATGGTTCCTAAAGAGCAAGGTATAGTAAAACTCCCTGGATCTCCACACTTTTGTGGGAGTTTATTTTGCAACATTGCGTTGCCATACTCTGTGAGCTTGACCATTGAGGTCTTCTCTATTTTCCTCTTCATTGTAAGTACCACTTTCAAGAATTAAGCATAAGCAGGCATATGTGAGAGCATTTATGTGAATGGTATGTTTACATGAACCTGTTTCAGCACATCCAAAAATCTCTCAAACTGCTTGTCCAGCTTTTCTCTACTTAGCTTTTGGGGTAAAGGTAAAGCATGCATATGCTTACTCTCCTTAGGTTCCTCCCTTCTTGAGTTTTCTTCCTTCTTCTTTTTCTCAACATACATCTGGACTTTCTTCTTCTTATCAACATCTCTTTTCAGCTGCTCCCCGCTTTATTTTTCAAGTCTCATATCTTTTTGGATTGGGGTGAGATCTTTCAACACTTGCCCACTTATCAAAGTTACAGTATTCACTATTTCTTTGGGATTTATTTCAATATCAGCAGGGAGAGTTCCTGGAACCTTCTCAGATTATTATCGTTGCAATCTGTCCTACTTGCTTCTCTAAATTTTGAATTGCTGCCATTTGTACTTCAAATCTTTCATCAGTTTTCACAATGAAGGCCTTCATTCGACCTTCTAGGCTAGTCTGATTGGGCTGTTGAGGCTGAAACTACTGCCTTGGTTGATTCATAAAACCAGGAGTTCCTTGTCCCTGGAATCTGGGGTTGTTTTGTTGCCATGCATTTGCAGTACCCCCGGGTGAACTCCATGAAAAACCGAGGTGCCTCTGACCCATTGCATTAAAGTTATAATTTCCCACAACATTCACTTCCTCAGTTGAGGCTTGATACTCATGAGTAGGGTACCCTATTCCACATATATCACAAGCTGCATGAGGCTCATTTTATAACGTGGCTAAGGCCAGCCTTCGTATTTCTTTGGCCATAGTATCAAGTTGTACCTGCACAGTGTATTAGCATCAACTTGGTGAACACCAGTTGATCTCCTTCATTCAACACTCTCAGAGGGCCACTGATTAGCATCTTCGGATAACTCATCAAGAATTATAACTATTTCCTCTAGAGTCTTCTTCATCAACGGGCCTCCAACTATATTGCTCAATGTTCTACGGGAAGTTGGTGAAAATCCTTCCCAAAAGTCCTGGAGTTGCATCTAGAGTTCAATTCTGCTATGTTGACACTTTCTAACTATCTCATTAAACCTCTCACATGCTTCAAAAACAGAGTCATTCTCTTTCTGGGCGAAGTTATGGATTTCTCTTCCAAACTTGTCTATCTTAGTTGAGGAGAATATTTATCAAGGAATTTTCTGGTCATCTCCTCTCATTTTCTAGTCGATCCATTGGGCAAGCTTCGAAACTACTGCTTCACATCATCTTTAAGTGAAAACGGGAATACCATTAAGTACATTGCATCTTGTGACACCCTATTGTATTGAAAGATGTTCATAATCTCCTCGAAGTCCATTAGATGTGTGTTTGGATCTTCGTTCATCTTCCCTCTGAAGACACACCAGTTCTGAATGGTTTGAAGCAACCCTAACTTCAACACGAAATTGTTTGTTGCAATTGGAGGTGGTCTAACACTGGATAATCCTTGATTGTAGACTAGTCTGACATAATCGCCAAGTGATCTCCCAAGCCCGAGAGCTATATTTCCGAACTGGTCTGCAGCCAAGGGTTGATGTTGATTAATTCTCTGGCCCCTCTCTTCTTTGTAGATAATCTGTGCAGCAGCATCTCATGCAGCTTGTTCTCATTATTGGGCTGCCTCTCTTGTAGCCAAATCTACCTCTTCATCACCATTTCCAGCCACAATTTCTTGGGTTGAGGGTTGCCCAACCTTTTCTAATGTCTTGGTGATATCTCTTTCCTTCCCCAGTTGTCGCAGTTATTTTTCTAACTCTGGATTGTATGGTAGCACTTCTTTCGCAGAAGCTCGAGTTATGCACCAATATTAACCTGTAACCTGCACACAGTCAAAGAACACCAAATGTAAAAAGGGAAAAAAAAGAAAAATTCCTGAAATAGCACTACAAACTATTTCAAACACTATTGATTTCCAATCCTCGGCAGCAACACCAAAATTTGACGAGTTCAAAACACACACTTAAATTATGCTCACTAATCAAAGATAGTATAGCGTAATATTGTATCTACATGGATTGGATTTAAACAATATTCTTGAAGTTTCTAGCTTGATTGCTATCCTAGAGGATTAACAGTTGAGATTTATATGATTGCTAATTCAATTAACTAAGAATCTAAGCTATTGACTAGTGATTATCGAGACAAGGAATAAGCAAATAAGGTTGTCAGAGAGAGAAGACAGGATTTTGATAGGATAGGTGCAAGATAATTATTCGGGATCTAACTCTCAATAATTCACTTGTAATGTTCAAGTGAATCTCTCCAATTCACTCGATTATTAGTTCAAACGTTTAGTAGAAACTCCTCTCTCGACCAAGTCTTAACCTCACGAGATGAACCAAATTAAGCACTGTGAAGATATGAAAGAATGCGTAGTGGATTGGTCTTTTGGAAAACCTCTTTCGATTATTCTCTTAACTAGGTTTAATCAATGATTCAACTACCCTTTTTCGATTACTTAGAAGAATATATGAACTCAACCGACAATACAATGCAAAGATATCACAAGTTATTCCTCTCCCTATTACACGAACTAGTGAATATAGATGTAACAATTAAATCTTCCAAAATGCTTCAATACATAAAACTAGAGTTATAATCCACAAATAATCATCAGTACACCAAATCCATCAAACCCTAAAAGGAACAACTCCATAGACATGGAGAAATTCATCACAAATATAATTAAAGTATAGGAAAACATAGATTCGATCCAAACTCGGGTCTTGAGTGAGGAAGGAATGATGAAATCCTTGTGCTTGTGTTCTTCGAACTCCTCATTAGCTTCCTTAGGTCGAAAATATGTCAAAAGTCCAAAAAATAATGTTTTCCATGTATTTATACCAATTAAGGCCAGGCTCGGACAAAACCACCCTTTCCTAGCCGAAATAGGAAAATGGCTTTGGAAAAAATGCACAGGTGCGCCGCATGGGGCGACGCGCCACACGGTGTGCTTGTGGGACTTATCAGAGAGCATGAAAATTGTTCAAGCAGCAGGAATTACACTGTTGCAGCGCCCCACGCGCCGCCCCACGCGTCGTGGTAGTGTTTTTTCTTTAGAGTATAGCTTCCACCTTGATTTTTGATATCCAGACTTGCTACTCGATCCCCGAACACGATCCCCGATTAATCACTCCTACAAGGCATAAACACACAATAAGTGAAAAACATTACCAATTTAAGCTCAACACAAGTAAAGTGCAGTGAATTAGAGTTCAATAAGCACCTAAAATACGGGATTATAGCCTACCATCATTGGGTGCGAATATCATGGTCCTCTATACGTTGTGTATAACCGTTTTACCGTGTTTCTTGAGGTCTTGGAACTCATTCTTGGCTCGGGGCACATTGCTTTATCATACCCGATGACGAGCACGCCGTTCTCTCTTCCTGGATCTTGATACAAAGGGTCTATGACATCGATCACAATCTCGTGCATCCGTACCCTTCCTGCATTTTCTCATAAGGATATCGGGGTAGACGTTACCTCTGATTTTACCTGTATACAGATAGTACCCTCATTTTTCGGAGGATAGGTTTACCGGAATGATGGAAAATGAAAGATGAACCACGGTTCCTTCCTTCATACGTTACAACCGAGATGACGAGTGAATCGAAATGTCCCATTAGTCGCGTCGTTCTCACATTGGAAACATGTCAGCCGCCGGTTGCGAAACGCCGTTGATTTTTCTTCCTCTATAAAAGTTCCGACCCCTTTTCACATCTTCCACTTTCCGGTTTTAGAATATACCCTCAAACTCTCTAATTGCTTTTAACTCCAAATCTTCATATATTGCTCCTTGAACTTTCATATCTTCATCTTCCAATCCTCATAAATTCTTTGGATCTTCATACCTTCATACCATCTTTAAATCTTCATATTATTCTTTAATCCTTCATATTTCTCAGATTACGATGGAAAAAACCTCCAAGTCAGTGCCTCATTAGACTGCTCCTTCGTTTTCCCACCCGGCAACATATGCCGAAGTGGCAGTTCCCGAGGTTGCTCAAGAGCCCCCCATGAAGAGCTTCGTACCTGGGGCTGCTCTATCGAGAGCGACTTCAACTCCGAGAAGGCCTCTAGTCAACAGGACTGAGGTGAGGCAGCATAGAGATACATATGCTCTGTTACTGAGGAAATACTACCTATAGTTTGAGCGGACTATAATTGGGAGGGTAAGGAGATGGTCATCCCCGGGCACGATTATGACATCACTACTCACGTGGAGGGGTACTTAAGTGTTTACACTTACCCCTTCACTCACTCCCAATGGACCCCATAGTCCTTGCCGTTTGCGAAAGGTGTTGATACCCAATTTTTCCCTCAAATATTTTTAAAATGTGCATGTATACTTTTAAAATATTGTGCATACAATTACAAACATGCACAAGTGTTTTACCATTTCTTCTACAAATTTTTAAAGGGTTTAAATCCATTTATTTATGCTTTTTAATTACATAAATGTTCAAAACTATCCCTCATATTATTTTAAGATGATTTAATCATCTAACTTCATTATTTATGTTCATATGAGTGTTCAAATATTTTAATTGCATTTTTATAATTATATTTGCATGTTTAATACTCTAATTGCATATTTTGCAAAAACAGCCCCTACATATGCATAACTACATTATCTATACAAAAAATGACTTTCCATATTTTTATAATTATTTTAGATCCCGTTCATGCTTGAAATTATTTTTTATTATTTAATTATCTATTTGTAAAATTATTTTATTTAGTAAAATGGGTATTTAAATAATAGCCCCTAATTCACACCCTAAATCGGACCTCCTCCAATCCAATTTATTTAACCCAAGCCCAATTCAAGTCAGACCCAACCCAGACCCCCTTCTAATCCTGGCCGTTGATCTCTGAGATCAACAACCCTCATTCTTTCTTACCATATTAATCCCAAACGACCCCCTAACCCCCTTTACTCTCTCATTTCTGCCGCCTTCATTCCCTAACCTCTCTAACTCTCTCTCAACTCGCCCCTAACCTTAATCGCCGTCACCGGTGGAGACCTCCTTTCCATGGTGTTTTTGTACATTCTCCGACCACCACCGATTTCCTATACCCTATGGTTGTTGGATTTCATGAGTCCTTGAGAGGATCTCATGGAAATCCAACTTGTTCCGGTTTGAAAGTTGTTTACTGGCGTGTCTC